GGTAATTTCCAGGGAATTCCAAGATTCCCTTTTAAAAGTTATTCTAGACTAAAAGTTCCAGAGCAGAAGGGTACAAAAAAATGTTTTCCATTTCTGCTTGGAAAACCAATGGGCATAGAAATTATTTTTTAAATATAAAAAAAAAAAAAAGGATGCTATTTGTTTGCTAATTTGTATCTTGTATATGTAGTGTTGTGTTTTTTGAAGCATACTGCATCCTACAGAGTTTTCTTATAATATGGAATAGATGCTGTATCTCAGGAGGGTGATATGATATCTCTGCTTAGAATGCAGGTTCAGCAACAAGATTTTCTGGATTAGTCCAGACATGTAACAAACTGGACAGCTGTAGACCCATAGAATTTGTAAAATCTCTGTCTGCTCCTGACTCTGTGACCCAGGGATCAGGGTGGCAGAGGCCAGTGTATGAAATAAAGGATGCTATATAATCTGATGTCCCAACTTGTACAAGAACAGTTTTCTGTGTCTTGATAGAAGGAAGTTGATTGTGAAACAGAGAATTATTTTTCTTTTCCAGTGTATTTTCAGTAAAAAAGGCATCTTTTTCCTTGTATTTGAAGCAGTAGCCTAAATGATTAATTTGAGGAAAAATGTCTGGTGAAACTCCTCAGCATTGAGGTTTGTAATGTGTATAAATGAACATTTCTTCCAAGCAATCTATTGAAAGACAACCTAGAATAGGTACAACAGAACAAAATCAAAAACACTTACTGAAGAAAGATGAAGCTAAGGAAATTAAAGAGTTGTGGCTCATGAAGGGACAGTAAATATGGTGGCTTAATAATGGGTTGGTCTGGTTTAAAAGCTCATTTTATTTGTAAATGCAAGATAATCTCATTAGTGGGGGGAGTACAGAAAGATTTCTAACGTGCTTCCTATCAACATTCAATTCTTTTCAGACTGAATCAAGAAATACCCCTGAGCAAAAACACTGTAAGGCCAAATAAGAGACATATGATTTTCAATTGTTAATTGAGATTAATTAAGAGTATAAAATTAAAATTAAATTAATTAATTCAGTATTAATTGTCTTCATGTTGCTATTTGCCATCACATATCTTTGATGTCCCCTTCAATGCACTTCGAGCACATGCATTATGCTAAGCGTATTAACACACACTGAGTAAAAATTGCTGTAAATCTGCATTAAGGTCAGTGTTGTACCTGACCTTTAAAAGTCAGAAAACCTTGAGCAAATTTATCAGTCACTTTATGTAGAGTAAAAGCAGACATTTTGGTATGGACTACTACATACCAAATAGACTAATTGCTTTGTGTATTCAGTATTCTGACTGTGAACTTTTGCAGCTGAAAATGTTGGCACTGATATTATTCTGACCCTGCGTGGCTGAATAATCTGTTCTTTTTTTCTTTTGGCAATTGTTTTGGCAATTGCCAACAATATATATGACACTTCTCTTAATGATCACAAAACCTTTTAGCCTTAGGAGATACAGTGTGAATACAAGCTTAAGTTACAAAAGCTCTCTAGAGGAACTTTTCAAGGTATTGTGATAAATGCTGAAATTTAAGTTCCACTGTGCCAGTAAGAAAAGTATTTACTTTTCTGTAGTATATGGTTCCCACATTGCCAGTATACATTTAATTTATGTGACCAAGCAATCCAAATGATTTGTCAGATTTTTAATGTTATGTGTGCTTAGGTACATTACTATTTATCTCAAATGAAAAACTTCACATGTTAATTTGTATTAAATATGTTATAATGAAATAGTAATTTTATTCTGGGCTTTCACAATTTTTTAATATTTTATTCTTCCAGATTTCTAAATTCTTATGTGTAAAATCCCAGAATAACAGAAACTTGTAAAATATGAAACACTGGTTATTTATGAAACTTAAGTTTTCCTTTATATGTGTGAAGAAATGAGTTTTATTTGTTCAGAAGATGAGTGAGAAGTTCTTACTTTGTGAATATTGAGACATGCACAGATCTAGTGCTACCACTCAGCTTGATAACACAGAAAAATTGGTGAGGCTGGATCCTATGTAGAGCCAAAAAGTCTGTTTTAGGGAGCTTTTTAGGGAGCTTTCAGTTATGTAGTTTACTTTTTTGCCTGCCTCCTCAGAGCAGACATGACATAAATGAAATTGCTCATATGATCACTTAAAATCACCTAGGTTCAATTAAAACCACAGCTTCCTAGCAAGAGGTGGCATTCTTCTCCCTGCTGTAAACTATCTGATTTGTATTTTGAGAAAGAATATGAAATAGCAGGGGGAAGGGAAGGGAAGGGAAGGGAAAGGGATCAATTTACAGTGTTGACAAGCTGTAAGCAAAATTATGCTACTTGTTTGGTTTGTCTGCCTCTCCTGAGCTGCTGGAGCAGGTGGAGATGTTTTAAAGAGTGTGCTTTCCCGAGAGACACACACTACCGCACTCCTTGTCCGTACTGAGAGCTGCTCAGCCCAGCGATGTGAGATTGGCACCAGGGTACTGTGCAAGCGACGAGGGTTGTTTTTAACCCCTTGTTTTTCTGCCTGTTTACTCTGTTATGCACAGCCGAGGCAGCAGAGGGAGCTCAAAGATTTTGCTCATCAGCAAGAGTCCCCGGGAGGCCCTGTCAGAGAGCGACACTGCCAGGGGACAACTGCAGCGACAGCCAAGGACAGGGCTCCAGGTATTCGGACTTCTTTAAAGCCGATAGATTATATTCATATCCCATTAGCAGCTGCTAGTTTTAAATACAAGGTATCAGCGACCAGGTTTTATTTTGCACTTGTTGCTTACTTAACCTGTTCTGTTTATAGGCTGAAAAAAGAAGTATTTATCAAGAATTTAAAAGTCCTTTTTGAGTCTAAAAATTTGTTCTAATGAGTTAAGACGTAGGTACCTGAATTTTAATACAGTAAATTCAATTGATAAAGTAGTGAAAATTGAAAACGTACTGAACTGCAATGAATTTATTTTTGTTAAACCATGCAGAATTTCTGTGTGTTAAATAATGCAACATTGTTTTCACTGTCATTTAAAGGTAGAAAGATTTTCATATTTTTTAGAAGTTTCACCATCCGTGTTAGGGGGAAGAAAAGCTAATAGACCACACAATTGAAAGTCCTGTCTAAACAAAAGCATTTGTTTTTCTGCAAAGAAAGATTTGAGTCTCTGGGAGATCATCAGCGGCTGACAATAAGTAGAAGTCTGTTTTGAGCTATATCAGTGAATACATTATGAACAGAACACAAGCATCATGAAGGTCAAGGTTATGCTTAAATATCCAGGTTTTGAATGCATAAAAACAAGAGAATTAAAAACCTTGTGGCTCTGACCAGGTCTGATATTTTCTGTAACATATGATATTACCTGGAACTATTTGTTACAGACCAAGTCGTTGTCTACTTTGACTGCTTCATTCTGCTTTCGAGGTAACACTGAGCAGAATGTACTTTCATTAAAAAATAGAAATATTGTACTAACTTAAGTTGCACTGAAAGGAAATATTTATAACTCTCTGGTTTTGGAGAGAAAATACACCTGAGGTGTGAATTTGGTCATCCTTTTCCCAAACTCAGGACAATTTTTGTGTATTAACAACTCCAGTTTTGTATATATCCTTTAAATAGCAATCGAGTGGCTAGTCTTTGCACTCTACTGACCTTGTGGTCTGTCACCTCTTTTGGACCAGATTCACTCATCCAGACATTAGGAAGTAGCTGTGGAACACTATTCTAATCATGTGGGCATTGCTTAATCCTCTGATTGAACCTGAATAAATCTCTCTGGATGCCCTGTCAATCTGTTTGGGATTTGCAGTCTGGAAAGGCCCCCAAATACAAATTAAAGTAATTTTCTATCCGAAGAAAAGCCATCTATCTCTCTCAGTAACATCTACTACTACATTGCAAGGTAGGTAAAGAACAGGCAGTTGTTAATAACTCTTGGAGACAGGGGGATAAATATTTGACTACATGATTTTTCTTATTGTTTTCTTGACTGCAGGTCCTTGGTTACATTAGGTTTTTTTGGTAGATTTTTGTTTGTTTGGGTTGTTTTTTGGTTTTTTTTTTTACTATATCAAATCAGTTCTGTCCTTCCAAGCACGTTTCCTGACTCCTGAAATTGTTGGGATTTCAGAGTATTTTCTATATTTGGATCTTACAAACTCCCACAATTGTTCTGTCATCTCTCTGTATTTTAGCCCTCTCTGCCCCAAAATTACTATGTAACTGTTTTCAAAGAGGTATTTTTAACTGTCTTCAAAAAAAATGTAAAACACTTGTAGAGGGAAGGAATGCAAATATCTCCCCTCACTAAATTTTAGTGACTATATCTGTAGTCCAAATTACTAGCATATGTCTCATCTTTTATTGAGATTATCCTGGGGGTTTTCATCAATTCACAGTTCAATATCTAGTTCTGCTACCTTTACACTCTGACTTTTTCTTATTCTGTCAAAATCTTATCATCTTGTTCTGTATCATCTTTCTTTAGCAGACAAATTTTAAGTGTATGTACAAAAGCATGCAATTCACTTCTTTTTATGACAAATTTTATAGAGCAGTTCAAATTTTAGTCAATCTATTGTTTCAGAGCAACAACGCTATTGAAGAAGGACTTTTAAAATAAAGTATACATCTCCATATGCACTATATATGATGAAATTTAAAAAATGTTATCAACAAAGTGGCTTACTGAATTAGCACTTTTGAGGTTAGAAAGGTGGAACATTATAGAAACCAATTACTATCTAATAATTATTTCTTAAAAATTGTCAAAGAAAACTTAGGGAGAAATAAAAAAACCAACACCTTCTACCCTTGGCTTTACTTTTACTTGTGTGTGATGGTATAATGCTAAAATTTTTGTTAGAAAAAATCAATTGCCAAATTAGGAATTCTCACTTTCCATTCTCAGAAGTGGATTTCCTTTTTGGCTTAGTTCCAGGTGAAGAGAAGCTAGCTTTAGAGCTTATGGAACATATTTAATTTCAAACATAGAGTGAGTTAAAATATCTTACCATGGTTGTCTCTGCAATGGATCCAAAGCTGTTTATAAATATGTTGCATGTGACATTAACTGGAGGACCTGCAAAAGAGGAAAAAAAACCTCACTAGTCCCTGTTCCAGAATTATTGCTTATTGATTGATTATTCAATATAAACCATTAAAGAACAATACTTACTAACTTTGGAAGAAATAATGCTGCATTCACAATTAATTTAATGCATTATTAAATTTAATGGTTTCTAATAATTTTCTTTTTGATTTTTCTCAAAGGCACACTACTTATCTGGCCAAGTTTAGCAATTAAAAAACCCATAGCAAACAGCAACAAAGTTCAGTATAAACCTGCACACATTCTTCTATACAAAAAGGAAATATAAAACAACATCCCATTTAAAATATATAGTAAAAATATTTTGTGTGTATGTCAGTGAGAATGCCTGTTACTTCTCACAACAATTATGGGGAAAAATTACTTTCTTCACCCAAGGCAGTTTCTACTTTCAATGTTATCTGTCATCACTGGCAAAATAAATAGATTATTGCTGCTCTTATCTCTAGTGCTTACAAAGTCATTTAGGTTCTATTCCCATTTCTCTTAAATTAAAAAAATGTTTAGGAATCCATTTAAAACTGAATCCTTTGTTACCGTGGGTCTCAGTCAACTGTTGTTTTGTCTTATCTTGCATTTTGAAGTATCAATAGTGGCAGAGGAGTCATTATGATAACTGAACAATTAATTGCCTCTTAATGGAAAAGGGTTTAAATTATTTTCTAGAAGTCTCTTTAAAAATGTCATTATGGAAAACCATGCTAATTTTTCCATTACTCCTTATCAATTTCAGTCTGTGTCCAATAGAAACAAGGTTTCTCCATCTCAAGTTTTTTCGTTACCTTCCTACAACTCAATATTCTTATCTCAATAAGCCAGTTTAGCACTAGAGAACCTGGATTGTTTTTGTAGTCGTAAGCAGCCTAATGATGAGAGATCTGTATCTGGAATATGAAGACTGGTCTTATAGACCTTTATGTAATATCTCTTTTTTAGTATCACTGTAGAAAGAAACTGCTCTGCCACTACTGGTGATTTGCAACTAGCAAAAGCTAACATAGCAAATAAATTTCACATTAAATACTTGAAGAATCAGAATGCCCATTAAAAATTCTGCTAATATGACAGAACTTGGAGCACCCAGTTTTCTTTCCTGACAGCAAAAATTGTTTAGTGCAGCAATTCTAACAAACCACTTCTACATGTACTTCAGTCTTGGCGATACCCGAGACTACACCTATGGAGCAGAATTCTCAGGTAAGGAGGTAGCACTTGCAGTCACTTTGGTACACAGTTAATTATTTAGAGTTGTTGAGTATATCCTGTACTTCTGAGAATTCAGTAAAAGCTTTACATGCTCAACTCCTGAAAAGGATCAAGGGGAAAAGGAAAAGCAGAGATGGCAGAGTCTCTAAAAACCGCCAGGGAGAAAGTTGTTCCTCTTGCCCATGTTATTCATTTGTTTGCAAGGCAGATTTTCTTTCAAACATTTCCATGTTGTAGTACCTGCCATTCTTTCAAATTTGATGTGATGCTATCTTGCTTAAACTAGTACTATACTTTGAAATATAAGTTTGCTTTTATCAACATAGTTGTTTTTATTAAGAAGAAGCTCTATAGTACTATACTTTGAAATATAAGTTTGCTTTTATCAACATAGTTGTTTTTATTAAGAAGAAGCTCTAAGTCACTCCAGTGCTGATGCCTAATTTCAAATTACAGTAAAATAGTTAATAGCTACTTAAAAGGAGCACAAAAGTAGAAGCTAAAAGTAGCCTGCAAATGTTTTAGAGTTAACTCAAAGACACTGCTGAGAGTAAAAATGAACTTCCCAAAATGCTGAGAGTAAAAATGAACTTCCCAAAACATGGTCAAAAAGAATCACGAATGAGAAGCTGTAAAAGCTGGAAGTCATTTTTGAACACAGGAATTGAGGCAAGCTGAACATAGATTAAAGAGAGGCAGAAAAGAAATAGAGCTAAAACTCACTAGAGACAGAAAAGCTAACAATGATCGCTATCTACAAGGCGTTAAAAATAGAATCCTGCCAAGATCTGAAAGCTGAAAGAAGATGATTAAGGTATAAAAGTATCCATGGAAGTGAAGAAGGTCAGAGTAGAAAAACCAAATGAAGTCTTTGTAGCAGCATTTGTCTCCAATTGCTAGCTGTGTCAAATACTAGAGCCATTCTGCTGGAATTTTGTATGAGGACTGTAGAAGACATTTCAGACCAAGTGAACAGGAGCAAACTGACTGGCTGAGGTGATATAAACCCAGACAAAAAAATCTTTTCAGAATTGTGGAAATACAATTCACTGTGAGTCAGGTATCACCTGTGTCAATTTTGTAATCAGTGGAAATGTGTACCATGTCCATCCAGTATAACTTGAATTAAAAAAACCCCACAGATTTCAGGTATGATGGTGGGGGACATGAATATGAACTATATCCCTGCAAACCTTACCTCTGTACCAGCCAAACTGACAGAAATAAAGAGAACTTTTATAATTAAGAGATACAGATTAATATTATATATAAATGTATTTCATAGATTAATATATCTATATACTAGGGAGAAAGACATCAAAAAGTCAAAAAGGATTAAAAATTCTATAAAAAGTTGCCACACAAAACCAGCTGAAGTGGAAGAGGACCCTTCACACTGGGAAAGGTACACAGTAGGTAGTAATCTGCACATATACATATTTGCAAAGATCAAACAGAAGTAATACTTCTCCACGTCACTTGGCAATAAAATCAGTAAAAATAATCAACAAATTTAAAGGAAACAAAATTATACTTTTTAATATTCCAAACCACAAAGGTTTTATTGCCAAAAAATAATTAAAAGACAAAAAATATGAACAGCTTCCAGAAGAGATGGGAAGAACATATGTTACTAAACTAATTTTTTTCAATTAAGTTCTGGCTTTCAAAGCTTCTAAACTAATGATTGCTGAAAAATGCTTGCCAATAGCAGGGCAAGTAACACTTTACGTTTTCCTCTATAAATGCCCAAATTTTTACTTTAATATTTAAAGTTTTTATACTTAGGTTACATAATTGTGTTCAAATTTGAAAGACAATAAAGTATTTTGCATATTTTCAGGAATGGATATTGTCTGCATTGTGGACACTAAGTAAAAGCACCTTGCTATATAACATTAAAAATATAACATGAATCTATAACATTAAAAAAAAATGCAACTGGAACAAAACTTTAACAATAATTTTAAATTTCCTGTTGTATTTCATAGCTGAATAAATACCATGTATTCTCTATTATATTTTTTTGAACAAGAATTCATGTGCAGATTCAATATCCAAAAGCAGAACACATAGAATATATAATTTTGCCTTCTTGACCAAGATTAATTATAAATAAAATTGGTCATTAAAAATATTGCCTGCATAGAAATTTTACTGGAACAAAAATATTATTTAAATTAATATCTGAGTTATCTTATTAGTCCTGATCCTCTTTCTTTAAAACTATAACCAGTTTAAAACCTCAAAAAGGCATTAAGCCCCAGCATTTTTTGTAGGAGTAATAAAACTAACCAAAAAGTGGCAAAGTCACTTAAGGAGATACTTATTCTTAGTGGTAGGTCTGAATCATTCTGGGCAGATCTGTTCAAGCTGCATAGCTGTCCAGAAGATTTAGAATGTGCACTTTTTGAAAAGGAACAACGTCAAATTAGGTTTTGTCTCTTTAAGTTTCAATAGTTACAAAACAAGGCCCTAAATCCTTTGAATTATACTTTCAAGAAGTACTGAATTTAGTTTTGCAATCTCTAAACCATCTGCCTGTTCTTCACTGTTGCCTCAGCAGAAGATTGTGATTGGACGCTGTCCATGACAAACTATAAAATTTAAACCCCAAATCATATAGAGATGTGTTGGAAATTCCAATGCATGTTTATAATTTCCTGAGAAATATCAGCATCTCTAACTTAAAAAGAGCAAAGCATTTCCAGCTGCAGTAAACCTTGGGTAATAAGTTTATATATACACAACCGAGTGTTTATGGTTTGCTGATGAGGAAGTAATCTGACAAATCTCTTACATGGTCCTTATGAATCAGACTGGGCAAATTCTGGTAAAACCAGCACATAGCAGTGGCTTTAGAGTCAAAACCACTTAAGTTTCTGAAACTTGGAGATGTCAAAAAATTATAACATTTCTTGCTGAATAAGAATTAAGATGGAAAGGGAGTGACAGATGACTTAGAGGAGAAAGCACTGCCAGCTTGAAGGAAAATTTTTGTAGTAAACATGGAGTAAAGCCTTATAGTGAAATGTTAGAGCTAAGAGAATCTCTTGGACTCAGGAAGATAGGCATAGGAGAAAGCAACTAAGGCAAAGTAAGAATAATATAATTTTTAATCACAATAGGTTTATTCTTTCAAAACATTTTGCATATTCTGGGTAATTTAAAGATGTTTAAAGATTCAGTAATAGAGTTAAATATGGTTCCACTATCACATTGGAACTCCTTGTTTTAAAAAAAAAGAATAGTCAAATTTACCTAAACTTTCCAGACTACAAAAGTTAGAATGGATGGTGTTTGTCTGTATGATACTTTGCATATTCATATTAAAAATATGTTTTGTGTAATCCTTCATTAAATACTCTAATGTGCCCGAGTCTGGATAATATGCTAAGATCCTCAGGAGACACAGTCATTACATTTGCAAACTTTGTTGTTTCAGCCTTTGAATCTGCTTTGTTTTAATTGAATATCCTTTGTGATTAGTGCATAAAAGGCACATGCCGAGGCAAAATTCCATATATTGAGAACTTGAATTTCTGTGGAAAATGGGGACAGGGAAAATAACAGGAGGAAAGATGATCCTTTTGGCATTTCAAGGCACTTCTGGGGCCCAGGAGTGAGGAATATAATTTGGTGGTAGAATTGGTAACTAAGATAAGCTGCCCGGAATTTGATGGTCGATGTGGTTAACACACTCTTTAGAACCAGACAGATAAGAAGATTTGGACAATCTTTCACAGAACTTGCTTTCCATAGTGTTTCATGCTCTGGCAATCCAAGGTGGGAATCTGAATCCATTAGTAAGCATTTCAGGAAAGGAAAGAAACCAACAAACCTTATACAAACAACTCATATCTAAGGATAAGGTGTATTTATGAAAGGCCTGCAATTGGGCAGCTGTGAAAGTGGCAGGTGTAGAGTGTATTGCTGCTGAAAGGAACTGCCATGCATACAAAAGAAAGGCAAAAGAAAGCACCTGTTTTTTTCTTTTTAGTGAATGTACATCTTAGTTTTCGTATTTCTTTCAGAAATTGTGTTTTTGTGAGCAGTAGTACTGACATACTGAAAACCTGGGAGTTTAGTTTTGAAATTACCTTTGAAATTTGGTCTGATCCTCGCATCATAGCCTGACATCCTACCCATTAGCTTATCCAGGAAATCAGAGGGCGACATTGGCATGCTACGAGATCTTGCACTGTCTGTTTCCTTCGTGGCTACCAAGCTAAAAGCAAGGAAAAACAAACAAACAAACAAACAAACAAAAATTTGTTAGAAGTTTTGCTAGCAAAACTTTGATTTTATTTAGTCAATCATAGTTCATTTTTGTAGGAACAGGAAAACAGGAAAGCTAAGACAGTTTTTCAAGTTGGTCAATGCTTCAAAAATAGTAGTAGCAAAGAAATTGAAACAGTAAGTTCCTTCTATATCTGTCATTTAATACATAAATCTTATTCTGCTATGCTGCACAGTTACTGGTTACTTCCTCCTCAGAACTTCTGAAGATTAATATCACTTTCAGTCAGCAGTCATCAAAATCATTATCACAGAGTTAAATAACGTCATCTACGGAAGTAGCTGTGTATGTGGAATGTCGTATTTTGCAGTCTATTCTGAGACTGATCTATTTTAACTGTGTGTACTGTTATAGAAGCCTGGATCAGAAAAAAAAGAAATACTAAGGATCTTGATTAGAATAGTACTACGATCACCATGTTTTATGTTGATGTGTAATCATAATAAAACAGGTCAGTCTTTTGGCAGGTGGTATTCTTTAACATTGTCCTCGAGTTTCATTTTCTGTTGAAACAAAAGTTACTGCTACAGTGGGTAAAACATAGCAAAAAAAAAACCCCAAACCCTAACAACTTACTGAAGAAACTATTTTAGGACAATCTTTTCTTCTCAGGGAGACATGAGAAACTCCATCTGCTATAGCTTCCTCTTCATATACATGCAAAACTCCCACTGACATTCTAAAGTGTGTTCTGCACATGCTAAGAGAGCAGAGTAGTGGCACTGTGATCAGCCATGGGACCCAAAAGAAAAGTCTTTGTTTAGTGGAACACTTGAGTGCTGTCTAACACACTGAAAAAATAAAATAGTCAGAAAATACATTAATTTTGAATAACATTGTGATACACGGTGCAATTGAAACCATTTGTGGCTTTTGGAGTCTCAAAAATGATAAAGAGCTTTGCATGTTTGTGCTGAATTCAAGTCAAAAGTCTGTTACAGAAGGACTTAAATCTCTTTTACTTTCCCAATTCATTGTCTCCATATCAATTCTCTCTTTTAGAACTACTTAAATATGCTTTTGTTTAGATGTAAACACAGTGAGTAATGTAAAGGAATTTTCTGACTCATAAAAAACCTCTGCTAAGCTTTGTTTCTTAACAATGGATGGAATATCAAAATAGAAAAATTCCATACAGGTATGTATGTATGCAGAGACCATGTGGAGGGCAGACAGATAATGTAATTTCTTTATATTCAAGACTCTTTTACTCAGGATATTAAAAGTTACACTTTTATAGAAACTTCCATTCAAAAGGTCTACTTAAATTTTATCTTCAAATTTGAAATTTGAATTTATTATATTAAATAAAAAAAGAATTCTTATTAGTCCTTTAGAGTTACAAATTTGGGCACACATAGAGCATGAAAATATTAGTCTATAGAATGCTATAGTTTGCTCATATTTTAATTAAAAATGGAAATTAAGTATTTTAGTTGCAATATTAAATCAGAAAATTAAATCTTACCCTCGAGTTTATTTGCTTAGCTAGTGTTTATTCTATTCAATGTGTAAGTTAATTTGTATGTTCTTAAATTGTTCATAAATTGTTAAATTGTTGGGTATTTCTAAATTGTTTCGAATATTTTGGTATCTCTTTCAGTAAAAAATGTTTCTTTACTCTCCTTCAATAGCTACCCTAGTTTGTTATTTGTTCCCATAGCTGCAGAATGTATTTCTGTTTCTGAAAAGTATTCAACATTTTCTTTTTACAGTTCAGTTTGAAATTATCCTATTGACATAATTTCCATTATCAATCATTCTGAACTGATCTGATTCATCACATTATTACAACCTGTAGTGATGCAAGTTTCTGTAAAACATCACTAATGTCTATAAAGCAAATAAATACAAGAGTCAGATTACTTTTTGCTAGGTATTATCAACTTAGAAGGGGGAGAATCAAGTTACTGTGAGTATACACTTAGTACATACACTTAAACACTTGGATTTCTTTCTAGTAGTCTTCTGTAAGGAATATATATATATTCCGTAGGTATATAAAATTTCTATACTACAGGATATACAATCCTATATTTTTGTTCTTAATATACATAAATTATCCTGAACACAAATATAGAAAAGCCCATTGTTAGCTTGAATTTCATTTTCTGGAAAGGAAGGTTTCTTTGCTCTTTTTTTACTTCACTGAAGTTTTTGTAAATCTTTCTTTGTTGTAGTTCTTGCTTTGCCATGGAATAAAGTACTTAAGTAACTAATGCTGACTGGGAAAAATAGTAATTGCTGTGACAATGGATTTTATCAAAGTGAAATTTACCTTTTCATATGATGGCATCATTAATATGTGCTTTTATTAGTCAATTTTAAGTCTCTGAATATCTTGTATAATTTAATGCCTGTTTATGAAAAGATACAACTTTTGAATAAACAAAAGTCAGCTGTAATTTGTAACTGAATATTTCTTCAAGGAATGTTTTCCCTTTTACTAAGCTTGGGGTGTAATGAGTAACAGCTGGTTGAGTTCCGTAGAATTCTGCCCTTTTGATTTAACTTTTTATTGTAAATATGTATTTCAAGAATACTGTTGGACAAACAAAACTTTCATCAATCCTAGCTGACTTGTGGAATATTCATCTACTTATAAAGGAGCTAGACTTGGTAATGTAGCAAAACCTGAGTAAAGCAGTGGATTTTAAAAAGGGATTCTCTGTTTCCAGATTAATATAAAAATTTGCTCTTCGTGGTAAGGGCTCTTCATTTTTATTGCACACTGCCTCTGAAAGCTAGGCCTCTGGCTCAGGGGTTAAAGGAGGGTAAACTCCTTCCATGAACTAAGAGTTGAGCTTCTTTTAGTGTTAATAATGCACATAGCTTTGTCCTTGATACGCAACTATTGCATAAGGAATGGCTTTGCGTGCCTCCAGAGGGAATTCATTCTGACCTGTCACAGTTCTTTAAAGAATTTGTACATGTATTTTCTAACTGGCAGAATTATAGGAATTTAATACCAGCAAGAATTTTAATATCAGCAAGGTGCACCGGCCTTGTGTTTAGTATAAAGTCATTATGTGACTTTAAGTTGGTGAGGAAGCTGTACACTTTTTTCAGAGGCAGAAGCTTCACTTTGCTGAAGTCTTTTATTGGAGGGAGATTATAACCTCACAGTCTTCTGTTCATATTTTATGAGGAAAATTTACCAAGATGTTTTCCCTGGTAGTGATTTTGAGTTGTTCCTGTGAGAACAGGAACAGGAATTATTGGCAAATATTACCAACAGTTGTAAGGATTTATACCATTTTCCAGTTTCAGATAGAACAATACTTGACTTCAATTTCCTGGATGTATCCCAAACATCTTTAAAATGTAAATTAAGCCTTCAAAAACAATTGAAAAGAAATTTGATAACTGAAGTTGTGGAAAAAATCAAGAAAAAATTTGAAAATATCAAAAGAATCATTAAAAACTGATTTGTGACTAGACAAATTCACACCATCAAAACTTAGGGTAAAAATTTTTGTTTGAAATAAGCTGTCACACAAAACCAGACAAGATCAGAAAATTAGAATGACAAGGACTATAATTACTCCTGTCTCTGGTCTATTCTGTCCATTAACTTTTTTTTTCACCTAAATCTGAGGAGAGATGAGCTTTGCATCAATTCCTTGAAGCCTGCCAAGTTGGAATATCAATCACTGAGATAGGAAACTATCCTAAATCACAGGTGCTTTGACTACAAAAGGTCATATTTGAATCAGAAACTGTTAGGTCAAGCTGAAGATATTTCAAGTGGAATATAAATGTTAGAAAGTAAGAAGCAACCTGACACAGACAAGATGCAGCTTCTCTTGATCAGCTACCACATCCTAAATTTCAGAAAGAAAGATAAATGAAAGAATGGTGTTCACTAATGCAATCTATAATCTGTAAAGAAAATGCAAAGCAATTGATGGTTTAAAACTAAGAAATACAAAATTAATTGACGGAGACAAATTCTGATGATGTGAAGAAAACAAACTCTTTCCTAAAGTCAGCCCATTTAAGTAGAAGAGTTTAAAACAATTAGAGGAAGGATATAAAGAAATGTATGACCTGTGAATGTGGGCAGAGTTGGAGAAAGCAGTGAAGAAGGATTCAGAATTCCTCAAACAACTCAGCACAGTTGTGGTAAAGTTCTCACTGCACTACTGTGTTATCCAGTGGTGTGGAAAGATTGAAAGAGTGAGTAGAAGCATGAAGGTCACTTATTATTTTATACGATATTAATGAGACCAGTTCTGGGATGTTGCATCAAATTCCATGTCCGAGTTTTGAAAGGACATTAAAGCACTTGGAAAGGTACTGAGCAATGCCACTAAACCATGACCTGAGAGTTAGGGAAATTTGCTTCAAGTAAGAGACTTTTAGAGCTTAATCTGCTTAGTTTATCAAAAAAGAAGAGTAAAAAAAATAGATTGATTGAAGTGTATAACTATCTCAAGGCAGCAGAAAATGCTGGACATTAATCTAAAGAAGAAAGGCAGAAGAAAAACCAGTGAGAGACAGACAAATTCAAATGGAAATTTGGACACACAGTTTAATAGTAACTTAACAGGAGATCACACTGTACCAACCAAGACAATACAGCTTAATGGAAGAAACAATTTAACAAAACATAGGTATTGTTCTTCATATATGGCTAGCTTGGTGAAAAAGAATGAGTTCTGATACATAGAAGAGCAGGCTAAGTTCAGATTAAACATTACAAATCTCATGAGGAAATCTTCAGCCTGTGAAAAGGCACTTGGTTGATTTGAGGAGCTTAAGGGAGGGAAGCAATGGGCATAGTTCCAAGTGTGAAATGATGTCTTCACTGGGTCCCTCTGCACAGGGGCTGGGTTGCAGGCTTGCAGTTGTTGTAATGAGGTTTGCAAGTTATAGCTGTAATGTTGGCTCATCTTGCTCAGTTCCTTTCACAGCTGGGTATTTGA